AATCCATATTATTCAAAGAGAAAATGAGAGAGATGATGATTCTGATGCCACCCCTATCCCAGCCATATTATTCACATATCGAGTCCCAACAGCAACAGTGTAGGGATGAGCACGACAGTGCAGGTGAGCATGAAGGATGGACAATATTTCGGGATTTTAGATTGGGAACACAACAAAACACTAACACTTAGGGATTTGGGAATAGTCAGACGCCTGCTAATATCGATGATTCGTTTTTAGATCGAATCAATGAATTGTTAAATGAATTCAATCAATGGCACCAACGTGACCAAGAAGAACAATAGCGTCGTCTATCATTTTATTTTTAAATCATATGTTACTAATTTTATGCTTTATTGTAGTCCATGTATGTCGATATACTTATTCTATGATAATTCTATATTTATCCTTTTGTATGATGTAAATTAAATGCTGAATAGCGGTTCATGCAGGGAAAGAACATATCAATATTCGCATATTCATTAAAAAACATGAAAATTCTTAATGGAGTACCCTCATTTCTTATTGAATTCCTAAAAAACAATATTTATAATGAATTTTAATAATTTTTTTGGATTTTTTTTAAGCTTTATTATGACCGATTCACCCGATTCCCGATCCGGATCGCCGATCCGGATCGGTTTTTTGGGAACCCGATCCGGGTCACCGATCCGTTTTTTAAACCATTGCTATTGACCGTTGACTGTGAAATCGGGTGATTGAGAATGTGTCTTGAAAATAAAATTTCTCCAATATTGTGACTCGTTTCAATCTATTAGATTTCATATTCAGTGGGTAAAAATGATTATGATTTTATTGTATCAAAAGTAATTGGTCTCATACTATACAATTACTCAGTATAATACATTAGAAAAAACACATGATAAGACCATTCGTTTTTTGCACAAGGAGGTCACAATTACTTTTACTTTTAAAGGCGGGCCTTCAAACCAACCATTGACTATTAGGCGAATCACCTCCATTCCGTTATATTCGTGGTGAATGTGGTCTTTCATTTTTTTTGAGTTAGTAAGTAGGGAGGGGCCCCTACCCTTGGTAGGAATTGAGCCAAGGATGTAGTCTTGCAAATCGTTAAGCCCTAACAAATTAAAGACATGGTGAATGTGGTATTTCATTAATATGTTTCGTGAAGGCTTTCCCTTTGTTCCGGTCGTTCATTGTAGCAAGTTGTAGGAAATACTCATGTTGTGAGAGAAGCTTTGCAACCTTCATTTGTCTGTCTTTCCACCGGGGTCCTCGTCTTTAGGATATTTTATTGTGATAACGGTAAATATAATAGAACTATACATATTTTTTTGAAAAAAATTAAAAATAATTACCCATGTACGATTACCAATTTAACACTTTACCCATATCTTATAATGCAATTTCAAAATTGCTCGTGGTATTAGTCGTAATAGTTCAAAAGGATAAATTATTAAATAATTCATCTCACATGGACATTTTGATAAATTTATTATTGCTTTTATTTGGAGCATATACATATCCAAATTATGGAGTCCATCGGATTTGCATAAATCTTATAAAATTCCAAAACTCAACGCCAACCGTCCAAATCTCCAAAAATCAATCTGAACCGTCCAGCCTGCTGGCCCGCCCATAATGTTGTATAGGCCGGGCGGTTCACAAACACATTTTGCATATATAACGGAGGAAGGGAGAGAGAGAGAGAGAGGAGGGAGGGAGGAAGAGGTACGTGAAGAGGGAGATTCGAGAGAGGGGGAGGGGGGGGTTCGTAGAGAGAGAAAGAGTACGTAAGTGGATCGATATTTCAGAAGAGAGATAAAGTTTAGAGAGAGAAAGGCAGAAGAAGAGAGAGAATGTCTCATTCTGGTGGCGCGGACCCTCGCATGCCCTCTGCTTCCAAGCCCTATGCCTCCTCTCCCATCTCTGCAACTGATCTCCCTGCTGATTACTCTGGTTTTTTCGCCATCGCTTTCGGAATTGTGGGCTTGATGCTTAGGGTAATTACTTATCTCTTTGGATCCCGTATTTCACAAAATTTTCATGCTGAAAATAGATCAGATATGAATGGTAATTTTCTGAACAAATATAGGGAGAGAGAGATATAGATCACGGATAAAATATTTTATGAAGAATAACATCATTCTATTGTTTTTTTTGATTCGTTATTACCGAAGGTTATTTTTTATTTTTTACGTGCTCACACTTATGGTTGCTGCTATTTTAGTTGAATTTAGGGCGGCGAATTTACTCTGTGGCCTCAGGTTTCTTTTAATTTTATTTTACTCTGAGCTTTGCTTGATTCGACTGGATTAGTGCTGAATAGTGAGCTGAACTTCTCATCTCAATTTTAGTGAAAAATTTATGTTTGGTAAACTCAATCTTGGTGTTTCTTTATCATGCATTGAATTTGGGAAAAAAACGATTATACTTGATTTATAAGGGACCATTTTTTATTACAGTTGTTAGTCCGGGATCAGAATCTTAGAATTAGTAGAAATTATAACATGTGGTCTATTGGGGATCATTTAGGTTAAATTTTACTACTCCATTTACCCATGATTTTTCTGGCCTTTCACCTTTTCATTACAAGGTTGATTTGCTAGGCTTTGGCTCGGGACTAGGGCCGTGCCTGAGCTGAGCAACTCAGGTAAGTCAGTGTGGAAGCACCCTAGTAGTGTACCAGACCAAAAAAGGGCTAAAAAACAAAAAATAAATTGTGAGAGATTAAAAAGGTAAAAATCAAATTAAACTATGAACAACACTGAAAGTCCAAAAAGATGGAAAAAAGTATATAGAAAATTGAATTTGGAAAAGCATTATTTATTACAGTAAGCAATTCAAAAAAATCTAAAAAAGTAGAAGATAAAAAAATATAGCATATGATAAGAAAATCTCACAAATCACCATAAAAAGATCTACATCATATATAAAATATATGTACATTGATTTACTTAAAATATTTTTGATGGGTTTTTTATTCTTTTTATATAATCCGAGTTTGTACCTAGGAACTCATCTCGGGAAGTTGCCAAGTCTGTGCAACACGGCTGTGTCCGAGATGACTCAACCAAGCGTGTTTCATTATCATCTTTTAGTTGGAGTGCATATTGATTTACTGCTTCAATTGATTGATGCAAATTTATAGTGCATATTCTAGTTCTTTGCATTGATTTGACGTGCGGTGTTCTGTATATTACATGCTAGGGATGCCTTTTACTCGATAATTAATTAATTTATTTCATTTAATCAATAATATATTTATATATATATATATATATTAACTTTTGCTGATAAAAAATAGTCTTTGAGGGCACTTGAAATTTGGATTCTATTCCTTACATAACAAAGAAAAAAAAGAAGAGAATGTTGTTATTTGAGATCTATACACATGGTATGCTTCTTTATTTCATTGGCTTCTTATTTCTCTTGTGGTTGGTGCTCTGATGTTTTCTCAGTACAAGCTCTGTTCGTGGTTGGCTATCATTTGCTGTGCCCAATCTCTGGCCAACATGAGAAATGTTGAGAATGACCTCAAGCAAGTAGTAATGGCAATGACGTAAGTACAACTACTTATTTGGCTGCTCTCTATTGCTCTTCCAAATCTTGAAGCTTGCATTGAATGATTGTAATTTTTGTTTGCTATTCCTTTTGGTGGACTTGAGTTTGGTAGCTCGGGAGGACGCATTAAAAGTTATGCATGCATTAAATGATTATTTCGTGAATGGTGATGATTTTGTTTGAATTTACTATGAATGGCATGCAAAATTCTATGGTGTCCTTAGTTCTGAATTGTCACATCCATTTTGTTCGTCCTTTTCTTTTTATTTTTTTTCCAGGGATGGGGTAATCCAGGAATTGAAATTATTCTTTGTAATCATGGATCTCAATGTCACAAAATTTGTATGCATAAATCATCATTAGCATCCATGATGTAGGAAACTGGATAAGGTGTGAATTATATGAGGGACAATTGGCACATGGGTATAGCTATTTTACTTCTTGGTTCCAGTCATTCACAAAATTTGTACAATTTTCATTATTTTTTTAGGGTTCAATTCTGGATGTGTATTGACTGCTTGGATTGCAAGTTTTGAGGGCTTGTGTTGGGTGGCTCCCTTGTGTATGTTTTAGGGTAACACTAGCCAAAAACCTCTAGCCATTGTTTGATGGTTATGCCCGCAGACCTCCAAAGGCTATATACCCTGCCTCAACATCCATGCAAATACCTCTTGCCTTTTCTAGGCCACTGCTCTCTCCCCTATGCGCATTGATTTTTAGGTTTTTTACCTGCAATCTTATTAGATAATGATCAAATTACTCATCAAAATAATGAAATAAATTTGGTTAACTTTATCAAAAATAGAAATAAAAAAATAATGAAACAAGTGTGTAAACAAGATAAACACATATCCATGTACATGCATAATCTTTGAGTCTCCCTCAGGGAGTGTTTGTTTTGTGGATGAGGGGGCTGCCAAAGCCCCCTCTTCCACAAAGCTTGGGAGCCACTGCTCCTTGGGTTACCATTGAATTGGCGGCCTCCAAAAAAAAATCAATTGACACTGTTTCTTAAGGCCGCTCGAAGCAAAGGCTTCCAAATAGATCTGCTCTTCCACTTCCATGTAACAAGTGTTTGTGGAAACCGCAACTTCCACAAAACAAACCCTTCATCTTGCTTCAAGCTTTCTTTGGATGACCCCAAAGGGCTATCAAGCATTCTCTCACTAGTTTGGTAAATGCCCCATATAATAGAGAAATTTAGAAAATAAAAGTTTTTTGTAAAAAGAAAAGAAAACAAAAGATCAATCACAATTTTTTGAATAATATTTATATAGAAAGTTAACATATTATGCTTGCAAATAAATTTACTCAAATGAAAATTTGAGAGGAATGGCTTGTATTTATTTATTTTACTTCAGGCTTCTCAACTTAAGTCGTTCACAATAGTATACTAAAGGTCTTTATTTGATTTTACATTGTATTCGATATTTAAGGATATTATTTTGGTCAAATCTTACACAAGTTCTGCCCTTTTCTTCACATATCCTCCTTCATTTCAATTTGAAAAAACAAATATGAGGTAAAGAGAACAAATAAATATAGCAATATCAGAAGAGTAAAAGATAGAGATGGGGAGGGAGATCATTTTCTTTCTTGTACTGTTTCTTGAAAAGATGGTTGGTCAAATTCCCAACAACCATTTGTTGCATAAGTTGGATAGGCTACTTCTATATTAAATGCAATTCATGGCAATATTGAATTTAAAACTTTCTCTTTTGATTGGTGCAGTTTTTGTTTGGAAAAGGGTACATAGGAATGGAACTTGAGACATTGGGCTATGAAAACCAAGCCTCAACCGTTTTGACCCAAGCCCGATTCCTTGATTGATTGGTGCAGTTTTAAGAATCTCTTTCCCTTTGAAATGTTTTCGGATCATAAATTTGAATAATTATTGTTTTATTTTTTCATTTGGAAGAATTTAGGTGTGGCACGAATAGGTAATAAGATAAGAGAGAGTAGACTTAGGTGGGCTGGCCATGTATGGCGCCGACTAAGTACAACACCTGTTAGGAGGTGCGAGTTAGTCCAAGTGGAAGGACTTAAAGGGGCAAGGGATAGGCCCAAAAGGACGTGGTTGGAAGTAGTTCGGAAAGATATGGGGACTTATGGCCTCACTGAGGATATGGCCTTTAATAGAGCAGAATGGTGGATCAGGATTCGTGTAGCCGACCCCAATTAATTGGGAAAAAAGCTATGATGATAATGGTGATTCTTTTCTTTTTTATTAATAATCATTTCTTGCGTCATTTTTATAAACTTGCATTTATGATTGCTGTCTTTTAAAAATATAAATACTATTGGTGTGTTGGCCTATTTATTGACCCTTATTGGGTTGTGCTTGTGCTCCCCCAACACGGGATTGCATCTGGGCACAATCCCGCTCTAGGAGCACAAGCTGGGCGTGATCACATGATCTCATTCTTGGGGTGGGATCCCCCACTCCATGTTAGGAATGGTAACTAAGCCAAAACCATGGGTTCAGTGTGCAATCATACCAAACTTTGATGGCTTCAATGTTCAACTTTATCCTGTATATATCACAATTCATGGGAGCATATGCGTGCTTAGCACATAATGGTCATGATGATGATTTTATCACTAAGTAGGACAAGTATTACATATGGCATTAGTTTTTGGTCACATGCGATGAGGTTTTGGTCACAAGGCTTTTGGAGGGGTATTGTCCATCAAAACATTATACATATAGGAACTTACTTGTCCACAACCTGTGTGATGCACATGCTTGGCCTAGCAATTATATATTAGTTTTCGAATACCTTGTTTTAAATGTTAAAACTATTAATACAAAATAAATGTATGACACTCTTTATCCATTATTTTCATTTAATTTGAGAATTTGTCTTCATCCTATCCATGCAAATAAACCTTATTTATTAAAACTCTATCATATAGTGATGAGTTATTTCTATGTCCTTTATTTCAAATGATTAAAAAATAAAAAATAAAAATTCATTGCTAGAATAAAAAAATAAGGAAGTGCTTAAGTTTACATAAATTGAACATTGTAAATCAAAAAAATAAGAAAATTTGTTTTAATCCTATACATTCAAGGAAACCATAATAAGGAGAGGATTCCTAGTTTGTAAGGAGAGAGAGGGATACACGAGGGAACATTATTTATTGGGACTCTTATAAACAAGGAGGGTTCCCTACTTTGTATTGAGAGAGACAAAGATCTAAAGGTTATAAAACAAAATGAATGTTTCAAATTGCATGATTATGATGGTATATATTATTTTTCAAATCTCTTATTTTGAACATTAAAATTTTTTATAAAAAACAAAAAATAAAAAGTATTGGGAAGTGATTTTATGCAACGGTTGTATCATAGTATAATGCAACCACACTTTTAGATAATCATATTTGTGGTATTTGTACGACCCAAAATTTGGCACACACACTTTCTTCATCTCAATAAATCAATCCCAAAAAATGAGTTCAAATTGAACCTAGATATGGTCAAAATGAGTCGCCTCCAACAACGAATCTAGACCATTCATTTGGTGAATTTCAAGATCTTAGCCTTTACAAACGCAAAACCATTTTTTTCTTTTTTAACATTGTTCATCTAATGATAATAAAGCCATCTAAAAAATTTGGAAAAGAAAAAAATCCTTCTAAGGCTTAGATCTAAGCGTCTTATCAAAATGGACGGTTTATGTTAACTGGGCTAGAAAAATACTTTCCAGGTTCCTTTTTTAAATTGTGATTGTTCATTAGAATGAAAATAGTGCATATTTCAAATTTTGATTCAAACAAATGGCCCTAACATGGTTTTTGAAGATTGTTGCAATATACTATGATACAACCATTGCATGAAATCACTGCCCAAAAGTACTACATTCATTGTTCTTAATGTCCACTAAAAAAAAGGAAAGGGATTGGGGTTGTGGTGGTAGCATCCCCACACCTAGTTACCACATCGTGGTATCCATTCCTACCGTTGACAACACCAATTAACACCTTCAAAATGTAACTCCCTAATCTATTGAAAAAACGGGTAGGGGCCTATCTTCACCATTGAATTACCAAAAAAAAAAAAGTCCACTAAAAAATAGAAATTAAGGGTATCCAGATAATTTGAGATTTTATTTTCATCCTATACATATAAATGAACTTTAAATTTAGCTCTATTTTGTAAATATACAGTATTTTTCAAGGAAAAGTTTTTTGTGACTCCACTGACTCAGGTGTTTGCTTTGGTTTTAAAGGGTTCTAGGACCTGAAATGCATCCCAAATCTCTGTGAGTCCATTTGAGACTCAAATTCATGAATTATGAGCTTCTAAAGTAGTGTAGATTTGATGATTTTGGAAAATTGAAAGGAATGGTCCAAAACAAAGGATGGATCATTTAATGCTCACATTTTTTCCATATTCATGATCTGGGGCACATGTAAACCATACCCATTTTTCAATACCTTATTTTAATGGACAAAAACAATAATAATAAAAATTCATCATTAAAACTAGAAAATAAATAATTATTTCTTAGTTTTACTTAAATTTAAAAATAGCCTAGAACTTTAGGAAATTTATTTTAATCCTATACATGCAAGAAAGCCTTAATAATGAGCCTGCTTTGTATGGAAAGAGAAATATATGTAAGGAAACCTTGTACGTTGGGACTCCTACATGCAAGGAGAAATTCCTACTTTGTAAGGAGCGAGACAAATACTAAAGGCTATCATGAATGGTTAATATTGGATGATAATGATAGACAAATGAATGTCACAAGAAATTTGGTATGCGGTACAGATAAAAAAAGAAGCCAGCCCATTAAAAAACATGAAAAAAGATCCTGTATTGCCAAAGGCAGTCATCATTCATCAATTCTTAATTTTAACTCTTAGATATGCGTATAAGAGAGAGAGAGAGAGAGAGAGAGAGAGAGAAGAGAGAGAGAGAGAGAGAGAGAGAGAGAGAGAGAGAGAGAGAGAGAGAGAGAGAGGAGTAGAGAGTAGAGTAGAGTAGTAGTAGTAGTACGTAGTAGTAGTAGTAGTAGTAGTAGTAGTACGTAGTACGTAGTAGTACGTACGTACGTACGTACGTAC